TCAAATTCACATAAATCAGAAACACAGTTTGCAAATTTACTGTTAAGAGTATTATATGGGACACTCTGTTCAGTCCGATATTTAATAGAAGCATCATGGAAACTGTCTCTCAGCTTTACATTGACGTTTCTTTCCAGATGTTTGCAGTAGTTTTAAGAGTTGCTTCCTGCCTTCAAACAGAAGAATGCTAGCTGCCATGGCAGAATTCAAGCTGTCCACATCAGGAACAACGGGAATAAAGAGCCTGTGGCCGTCAGTTTTCTCTGCCAACTGGACTGCTTCTAGGCTCAAACCATTCGTCTCACCACCTATCACAAGAGCAGTTGGGCTTTGAGCCCAACTGTCATAGTACAGCTTAGTGTCCACTCTGGGGAGTGAAAGTCCCTCATGTTCAGAGTCCGAATCAGAATCCTCGTACTCCATGTTTTTGCGGTTGGGTCTTGAGCTGACCCAGCCGTAATCTCCAGCTTTGGAGGGTTCAGGAGACACATTAACCTCTACTTCTCTACTTCTGTCAGCCACGTGGACAGTCACGGGTTTAGGGAGATGGTTTTCAACATCATCCCAGTCAAGGCTGGGATAGATGGGAAGGCGGAAATGGGCGCCCATTGCTGCACGGAGAACTTTAGGCTCCCAAACATCCACACAACCTGTTTGAAAAAAATGCAAAGTTCCCAAAATTCAAAGGAAGGTTTCACAGGATTATTAATTTGATCTCTAATAATTACTGTAAACCTACCCTTTGTGAGGAGGGCATTATGACAGCCAGCAGCAGCAGCACATCGCAGCATAGTCCCGAGATTCCCAGGATCCCGGATGTTGTCACATATCAGAGACAAAGGCACTGAGTGACCTTTACTTGCAAAGTTTAACCGTGCCGGATCTGGGCGAGAAAATATCGCTGCAGAAGAAGAGGTCAGAGTCAGAAATAATTGAGATATTAGTGCTTCATCATGAGCCAAAAAAGAAAATCTGACCCTTACCGATCACTCCCTGTGGGGCTACAACGTCAGACCAGAGCTTGATGTCCTCAAACTTGACTTTCACTAGTGTGGCCCTTCTCAGCTTATCTAAGGGCAGCTCTCTGAGTCGATCCACCGTGCTGAAGAACACAGTCTGTGGTTTAGCACCAGCATCCAGGGCGTCACAGATCAAACGCCTGCCTTCAAGAAGGATTTTACCTTGGTGGTCCCGAAATGTCCTGGAACGAGCCACACTCACTAACCTCCTAGAGCAGAGACGTGGAGAAAGAGGAGGAGAAGGAAGGAATGGCTTCAGAAGGATGAGGACAGCTACAAAATCTATGTCTACCTTGAGACAAGATGTTGATGGAGGCCCACATGCACCCGGGTGTCCTGACATACATACTGCAGTTCTTGACCTTCTCATAAAATTACACAGTTCCTCTCTTGGCACCCTATCATATCCTTTCTCTAGATCCACAAAGTTACAGTCCGACTACTTCTGACCATCTCAATATTTCTCCATCAGTTCTCTCAAAGCAAACATCACATTTGTACTGCTCTTTCTCACTCACTGACCATCACCTCTCTCGTTAAATAAGCTTCAAAAACTCTTTCCCACATCTCCATGGTATGGCTCATCAGCTTTATCTCTCTGTGGTTGCTACATCAACTTTGTTCTTGCTGTATTCCTAATAATTGTGCTTTTGTTTTGTATGCCAGGGCCCATGGCCTCTGGCTCAATCACCTCTGCTACTGCCCTCACTCGGTGAGACTTACGCCAGTCTTTTATCTCCAGGCGAAGCCCTCTCATAGCGCAGTCCGTCCACTTCATTCTTTGTCACAGTAAAAGCATGTTTCGTAGCTGACTGCTCATCAGTCCTCGTCCTGACAGAGTTTCTCTCTTCGTGATGCTGTGTTCCTGCAGATATGATTCTTCCCCTGGTCTCCCTCTGGATCTTTGGCTCGTCTGACTGAATCTGAGGCACCTTTACGACTTTTCCCGTCTCGTTTTCAGGAAACAGCACTCTGACAGGTTTCCTCCTCAGTCCGCGTACATACCGTTTTGATTCCACAGTGACACAGCTCCTGGTTGTTAGGAAAGCATGTCGCTCTATCATGGAAATCAAACAGATCATGCTTCTTGTGTACGCTGCCATTTTGCCTGCTTTCTTCTTCTCTCATCTGTCAGGATGTTTCAAAAATACAAGCTAACCCGCCTAGCGCCACCACCTTTTAATAGCTGATATTGCGTTTACAAATTAAAAATAAACCAAACACATTTGGTGGCGTTATTAATGTAATTATTTAATAACATAATGTGTTACAAATTGTTAAACGGGTCCTATAGTAGCCGTTTTTTGTTTGTTTTTTTACATTTATTGATGCTTCAAACTTGACGCTTGATCATAATCTCGCGAGAAAACAATGACACATTGGTCAAACCATTAACCTGAGCAGTTAGGGGGGGATTGTGAATTTTATACATTGTACTTTAACGTACAGTCGCCGTTCTTTGCTTTAATACTAGAGAAGCACTAATAATAACGACAGGTGGTGTAACACATTATCCAGCGGTTGTTTTTTTTTCGTTTTGTAGTTTTACTTGCAAATACCCGGTATGTGTTCATTGGTTATTACCAGTCGAGCACAGAAAAATCGATACGACCACAGGTAGCACGGCTGTCATCATGGCTTTGAGACGAGCGTTGCATTTTGTTTTCAAAGTTGGTGACAGGGCTAAAACTGCTACCTTTTACAGAGATGTTCTAGGTATGAAGGTAAGTTTTCTGAGCTGCATTTAAATGTAGGATTGGACTGAAGCCGCCGTAGACTAGCAGCTTTTGCTGACGTCGGATAATTTCAGGGTTGCACAACCTGAGCAAATTTCCATAGTTATCATTGTATAAGTGGAAGTGGACATCACTGAATTGTAATGTTCTCACTACTTGTTATTTATTTCAGATTTTAAGACACGAAGAGTTTGAGGAAGGCTGCAAGGCAACTTGTAATGGGTATATAAGACACAACTCCAGTTGAATCTTGAGCTCAGTATAATGCTAAATAAAAGTCCTGTGGGGGAAAAAGTATTTGCCACCTTCCTGTTACACTTTCATGTTTCAGATCAAGGTCAAACAAATCAGGGCTTAGTGAAACGATGTATTGCCCCCTAAACCTAATAACTGGTTATGCCACCTTTACGAACTGTAATCAAGCGTTTAAGATAACGGTCAAAAGGTCTTTCACGTCACTGTGGAGGAATTCTGACCAACTCTTCTTTTCAGAATTGTTTGAACTCAGCCACAATGGATGGTTTTCCCACATGGACAAAACGCTTTAAGGTCTGGACTCTCTCCCTCCTTTTTTAAGCCATTCAGAGATAGACTTGCTAGGGTGTTTTGGTCTGTTTCTTATTGTTGAATCATGAACACTGACCTTAAATGAGGCAAGGGAAACGTGCAGTTCTTTAAATGTTGTTCTGGGTTCTTTAGTGACTAGATTAGTTGTTAATGCACTCCTGGAGGAATTTTGGTAGGCTGGCCACTAATGGAAAGGTTCACAACTGTTTAAAGTTTTCTCCATTTGTGGATAATGGCTCTCACCATGATTTACTGGAGTCCCAAATCCATACAAAGGGCCTTGTAATGCTTTCCAGACTGATAGTGTTAGTCACTAACTGAACTATCAGTGACTTTTTTTCAAATGTGTTTCTTTAGATCATGGCATGATGATGTGTTTCTTTTAGATATCTTTCAGCCAGATTCTGTTAGGTCTGTCTCATTTTTTAAAAAACATTGCCAGTGGATATTTTTTTTAATTCACTCAGGTTATCGTTGACTAATATTAAAATTTGTTTGATGGTCTAATAAATATCACTGTAACAAACATGCAAAACATACAAAATCAGGAAGAGGGCAAATATTTTTTCACAGGACAATGCAGATGTTGATACACTAGTGGTAAACCTGCCTTCACCCCCTACCCATACAGCCCTTATGATGGGAAATGGAGCAAGACAATGGTTGGCTTTGGTCCAGAGGATGACCATTTTGTTGCTGAACTGACCTACAACTATGGTGTGGGAGAATATAAACTTGGCAATGACTTCTTGGTGGGTGAGAGTTTGTTTTCACATTGCATGCAGGAAAAGATTGTCTTGTTATTCAGTGTACAGTGGCAATAATGGGATATTTGTACGTGGGTTTTCATGTTAGGGGATCACTCTGCAGTCGAGCCAAGCTGTAAGCAATGCTAAATGTCTCGGGTGGCCTCTCACTGAGGTGGGAGAGGCTCTGTATCTGACTCAAGCTCCTGGAGGCTATCCTTTCTATCTGGTGGACAAAGAGCAACCTCATAATGGTGAGTGTCACACAAGTCAAATCTGCCTGCTTCTTCTTTAGCTTCTTCTTCTTTTTCTTGGGTTTCTAGCAGGCTGGATGCAACAAAGGCATATTGTTTTTTTGGGGGGGGGTGTTGCTTCATAAACCTCCATCAAGGATCAAATCCTTACATGCAGTCTGGTATCCACAAACTTAAATTAATACTTTGTAACTTCATATTGATCAGAGTTCAATATTGACTTTAGAGAAAAGGCTGTAATATCCATTCTTGACAGTTCTGATCACGTAGGGTTTCTCTCCATGACATAGTTGGAGCGATCTATCAAAACCTGCTTACGAGTTTCCATCTCCTCACATGTGCCACACATGTTCCACATATGGATGCTTCCTCACTAGTGACAGCTGTTAAATCTGTCTCTGACCCTGTATGAAAAAAGGCATATGATCCCTGAGCTGGAATCAGAATCAACAGAATTAACAGAATTAATCAATTATGTGGAAAAAGTGTAAGCAGGTGCTGGGTAAGAATTTTAAGGAGACCCAGATGTCTAAAGTATAGCAACTCAATTCTGAATCTTATTTCTTTTAAGGGTTTATTTGTGCACATCCAGAGTCACTTTCCAGCAGTCATAAAGCGTGATTATCTAAACACGGATGATCTGATATCGTCGTGTTGGTGTTGTTCCTGGAACAACATAGTAAATGTTGTTTCAGGATCAACATTGCAAGTGACCAATCACATTGTTGTGACGTTTTATTCTTTGGCGCGCCAAGCCATTCGTGCACTTATGAAATTCTGCTTAGCGTTTATTAACTCATTCACTGCCAGCCATTGGCAGTGAATGAGTTAAACCCATTGACTCATTCACTGC